CTCAAAGCCGCTTCTTGAAGATAGCAGAAGTTGGGGCCGGGGGAAACAAGAGCCGCCTCACTCTCTCCATGTCTGTGGCTGTCGAGTTCCGCGACTACCTGGGGGACTTCATCGAGCACTATGCCCAGTTAGGGCCGAGCAATCCCGACATAGCGCAGGATGAGCCGCGGCGGGCGCTGAAGAGTGAGTTTCTGGTCCGGGAGAATCGGAAGTACTACATGGATCTGAAGGAGAACCAGAGGGGCCGCTTTCTGAGGATCCGGCAAACCGTCAACCGGGGGCCCGGCTTGGGAGCCACGCAAGGCCAGACCATCGCTCTTCCAGCCCAGGGACTTATCGAGTTTCGCGACGCTCTCGCGAAACTCATCGACGACTACGGAGTGGATGACGAGCCGGCGGAGCTGCCAGAGGGAACATCGTTAACTGTGGACAACAAGCGCTTTTTCTTTGACGTGGGCTCCAATAAGTACGGGGTGTTCATGAGGGTAAGCGAAGTCAAGCCCACCTATCGCAACTCTATCACAGTGCCCTACAAAGTGTGGTCGAAATTCGGCAGCACTTTCTGTAAATACGCAGACGAAATGAAAAAGATTCAAGAGAAACAGCGGGAAAAAAGGGCATGCGAGCTTCAACAGCAGCAGCAGCAACAAGAGGAGATGCACGGAGACGACGGGGACGAGGATTGATAGTGGAGAGAAACATGCAAAAAATAATCAGAATAACCTAAAGAGAACCTCCACACACTGACAGTCCACCCATCGCTGGATGTCATCCACTTACCCACCATTAATACAGTAAGCGGCTGCTAAAACAAGTAATAACATTATATATGAACTGTGTTTCCTACTTGACGACGACAACAGAACTGAGTGTTTCTTTTTTCCCTTATTAACCCAGAACTTTTTTACATGTTCCAAGATATTCTAAAAGTGTTTGCAATGGAGTTATTGCCGAGATTACGAGGAAGCGGTTCCTTTACATGTGAGCTAATGACTTCAGCACACATCAGATGTTCTAGTTTTTTTTAACCAAATTTTCGAATCATCTGAAGGGGTTGTAATGGTAGCCATGCCACTAAATATTCCAACCATCACC